AATCCTGAAGATACCTGGAGATGGATCTTAGGAAGAGATGTCAGAAAGGAAGCAGAGAGGAAGAATGGATTCTGTTACTTGTTAACCCTTTTGTGTCACTTTATTTTTTAAACAAACATACATTCTATTTATTATGGGAAAATATGATAAGAACTATTTTTAGTTTAAGAACAAATGTTCATTATTTTAAAAGGTATGTATCATAACTAATAATTCTCGAGGCATCATGAGTTCCACAAAAATCACTCAAAGAAATCTTAGGGCGTTCAAATTTTGTTACGTGACAACATCCTGATTTCCTGACATAGGAAATCACTCACATAAAAGCTTATGAGTTTGATAATATGCCATAACCAAGTAGGCTTTATTTCTGGGGTACATTGTTGACTCTATATTTAGAAGCCAGTCGTTCAATTATTTGTTAATTCAACACATTTATTGAGCACCTATTATGTGCTATACATTGCTCCCAAGGTTGTGGTTAAGCAATGAGTAAAACAAGCCTAAACCTATTGAAAGAGAAAATAATTAACAAGATAAACAAACACATGCATGCTGTTCATGATAAGTACAAAAAAGCAGGCGGCAAGGAAAGCAAAAGATGGGAAAGACTGCATGAAGTCCCAGTGGATGTTAGAACATCATGACTTAGATAATCACTGACCTAGAAGTTTATAAGTTTGGTAATATGCCATAACCAGCTAGCTTTTATTTGTGGGATGCAAATTGACCAGGGAAAGACTCAGAAAATTCAGCTTTGAAAATGTGGTGCATTATTCTGCCATAAAAAAGAAATCATGTCACTAAATAGGTGGAACTCTAGATCTTTGATCACCAAAAATAAAAATAAAATGATTGAACTGGAGATCCTTGTATTAAGAAGATTATGCCAATCAAATAAATATAGGTATTTCTTGTTTCTTTGTAAATGTGGAATCTGGAAAAGATGTGAGACTAGAAAACGAACTATCAGGATGGAAGGAGATCATGGAGGGAGGGAATAAAGAAATAATTGGAAGACCAGTGTGATTAAAATGCATTATATGTGTATATAAAAATGTCACAATGAAACACATTATTTGTAGTTGCTATTCATTGTAAGGGGCTGGAGCTTGAACCCGGGGTCTTGTACATGCTATGCAAAAATATTCTACTAACAAGCTACATTCTTTAAAGTTCACCTTTGAGAAAATCTAAAGTTATGAAGAGTACATGGTGATACCTAGTGGAAGAGGTATTCCACGCAGAGGGGCAGGCAAATAGAAAGGCTGTGTGAAGGGCAAGTGACCAGGATAGTCCAGGAACATCAAGGAAGCCAGGATGATTCAAGAGAGGGAAAAAAGCATAGATGAAGTATAAGTGTAATAAGGCTGGATACGGTAAAGCCTTGTGAGTCATAGTGAGGATATTTGTATTTACTCTAAACAATGCAGGAAGAAGGCATGGAGTTTATAAAATGTGTCTGGATGTGTTAAGAATACACTGTAGAATAAGAAAAATGACAGAAATATGTTTGCATCACTCTATAATCCCTAGGGGAAAATAAACTTTGAAATAAAAGTATTTGACTTTTTTGTGGTAATGTATATTGAACTCAGGGCTTTATGCATGCTAGGCAAGCATTCTACCACTGAGCTAACTGCAGCCCAGAATTTGGTAAATTAAGTCATTCATTCTTTTTAAAACTACTAAGAAAATAGGAATAGGGAAATTTTCACTTATGTAGTAAAGAATTATATGTAATTTGATGATTCATTCTCAGTTAAATTAAATTAGATATAAAAGAAAATATCCTTAACCTGATAAAGAATACATGAAGCTCTCTGACCTGGAAAATTCATCATTCCCCTGTGGGCTACCAAAACAACATAAGTTATAAGTTTCCTCCACTCATTGAGAATATTTCTGAATATGACTTTTGGTGTGATACTACTAAACTAAGTGAAAATAACCTCAAAAAAAGAGACATCTCAGAAGCAACACGACTTGCACTAAGTGATGGAACAAAAGAAAACAAGATGAGGAGGCTCTCAGAGAAGGCCAGGTAGGATGAGGAAAAGAAAAGAGGAGGCATAAATATTAGAAGGTAAAAAATGAAAACATGTTTTCAAAAAAATGGCATATATTATATACCCAGGCAAATCAAAAGTGTCACCTAAAAACTACTGGAAGTAATAAGATACCAAAAATTGGCTAATGCAAAACAAACATGCAATATTAGAATATTTTCTCTTAAATAGAAAGTATCCTATCAGAAAGTGCAGTTCAAAAAAAAAGAAAATGTGGTTGGACTGGAGAGGTGGCTAAGGGGTTAAGAGCAGTTGCTGCTGTTACAGAGGACCCAAGTTCAGCTCCCATCACTCGTATCCAGAAGTTCACATCTGCTTATAACTCCAACTCTAGGGGATCTAACACATGTGGCATATACACATAGACATATATACATGTAAAATAAAAATAATAAAATAAATCCTTTTAAAAAAATAAAGTTTTTAGCACTAAGATAACTATTTATGAGCAAATAGTATGAATTACTTAGCTGAAGAAACTTGTGAAACATAGGACATAACATAAAAGTGGATGGAGCTTACATACTGTAGGTCTGGAGAGGAAATCTTGATTTTAAGATGGTAATGTTCCACAGATGAGCCTGCAGATTTACTGCAATTACAATGCAAATATCAAAGCCTATTTCTTTTACTACTTTTGTTCAATTTGGAACTTGGTTATGAAGCATCAATTCACCTCTTAAAATGTGCTTAAAAAGAAAGTTGGAAATTGTTAGCAATGGCTGGGAATAGAAAATCTAGAACAAGGCTTTTTCTCTGTGTATATTTTATATGTTTATCATTTTGGTTTATTTTTCCTGTCATGATGGGAGGTTGAATCAAGGTCTCAAAAAGGCCAAGTAGTATTCATTACTAGACATAACCAATTCTTAATCTTGACTAATATATAAACCACAATCCCTTTAGGCCATTCTATTGGTCCTTAATATCTGGAGACTAGATCATAGAACCCTTGAAAAACCGATTGGGACAAGGACCTCTAATCCACCTCCCAAACCTCTACTTAGACACACATACCATAAGAAATAAAACCTCGCAGGTGAATAAAATTCAGGTAGTCCACAGATTTGATTGGGTAAGAACACCTTATCTAGGTTAATCAATGTGCTCATTGCAGACTGTTGTTTGGGTCTGGACATGTATATCTGGCTAAGGGAGCACCAAAGTAGGTGTGGACTGACAGTGATCTTGCAGCAAGCTTAGAATATTTCTGGGTACCTTGGCGCTAAGGTTGCCAGAGGCGAGAGGCCCAGCAGGCTATAACCCTTAGACCAGGTAGTAGTAGCACAGTGTTAAGGACAACATTTACCAGGACACTATAGAAAGAGATATACATCAGGCAGATCTAGCAGCTTCCCCCAACAATCATTTCTTCTGCTACAGGGGCAGATGGGAATAGCAATCTCTACTATGCATTGCTGTTTGCCCCTCAGAAAGGAAGGTGGGCAAAGGCATTTACTTGGGTCATCACTTTATCTGTGTTTTTTGTTTTGTTTTGTTTTGTTTTTTGTTTTTTGAGTAAGCAGCAAAGTCAGATGTCTGCACACAGGGAAGAGAATGACAGGTTCTAGGGGCTGGAGAGATGGTTTAGTCGTTAAGAACACTGGCTGCTCTTGCAAAGGACCTGGGTTTGGTTCCCAGCACCTACATGGTGGCTAACAACCATCCATAACACCAGTTCCAGGGGAATCTGACGCCCTCTTCTGACCTCCGCGGCCATTGCACGATAAGGATGTACTTACATACATGCAGGAAATACACTCATACACAGAAAATAATAATAAATAAAAGAAAATAAAAGCATGACAGGTTCTAGACTATGGGAGGGAGAAATAGGGCAGCAGCTTCCATCCTTCTTGACAGGGCAAAGAGGACTTTGCCACCTTGTACCCTTCATCCATGCCATTCCCTTGGCCTTGAACTCTTGGAGATGGATTATTAAACCAGGGACAGGTGTTCAAAATTGCTGTGGTTACAGCCATCAAATTACAGGAGATTCACACAGCAGTCAGCAATGGTGTGGTAATATTAATAAATGTATTTCTCTAACAGAATAAGACGGAATCACTTGTTTACTTAACTTAAAAGCTGTCCCAGTAGGAGAAAAGGATATTATTTGTCCAGAATAAATAAGATAGGGCAACTGAACACATCTTCATGGATCAAATTATAGATCATATGGAAATAATGCTTATCTTATTTAAAAATCACACTTTTAGATGTTCAAATACTTAGCGGGCTTTGAAATCTTGGTGTGCTTTCTCATGTGGCCAATAGAATTAACTTCCTATGGGGTAAAAGTTAACCAAAATTAATGGAACAGATAAATACTTTAAAACAATAAATAAATAAAACATGTCTGTCCTTTATTGCTACTCATTCTCACAGTGAGTTTTTGCTTTATATTGTGTCTTCCCACTGTAAAAACAAAGCTGTGATCATAGCGTTTTAAACAAACCAGGAGTATTCCAGAAAGGTAGATCTCAGTCCCCATTCCTTGCCTCCTTTCTGACACTGGTCCCTTATTCTACACTGAAGCAGACACTCAACTACAAGGGAAATGGTGGAAACTAAATAGGACTGGAAGATGGAGAATGGAGAAAAAAAGCATCGGGTAACTCACGGGGGGAAATGAGATCATTCCCCAACAAAAAAGTGAAAATTGTCAATAGGTCTCCCACAAGATGCAGCTCTTCCCCAGTAACCAGAGGAAGGCAAATTCTTACAAAGAGAATGGGGCTACTTTTGGTCTCCGAGAGTACAAAGGCAAAGAATGAGTGACAGGACCTGATGTGGTGGGATGAGATAGGAGTGGGATAAAGGAGGGGGCTCCTGCTCCTGGTAGGAGCCAAGATCAGAGGCTCAAGCTTACTGGCGATGCGCCCCTCACGTGATCAGGAGCTGACGTGGGCAAAGGTACTTAAAGCCCTGACTGCCATCGCTGCTGTCCTCCTCTTGGTACCAAGGCTAATACGCTGTACACTGCCGAGCGCTTTACCCAGCCGAGGAGAAGGAGAAAATTCTCTCAGAACCCGGCAGGTGGGTGTGAGGGTGGATATGCCTGGGATCCCTGAATAGAAGTAGCCTAGGGATGCGGGAGGTCAAGGCCGCAGGCGCCTCTGCCCCCGCTCCGGGCCAGTTTTCCAGATCCCGGGCTGGACATTGGGTGGGCAGCGGAGAAAAGAGAGGAGTGGAATGAAAAGACTGATAGATTTAGCGACGAAACCGCCCACTTACTTCCTTCTCAGCTGGTGCTTTGTGGTTTTGTTTCTGGCACTCAGGCCCCGCACCCCGTCTTGAGAGGAGGAGGGAAGAAATAAACGTGGCAGCGCTTTTAAGGCCAGCCAGCGGGGTGCAAACGGGTGGCTGGATGGGCATGCAATTTGGAAGCAATTGGTACCTTTCACTCCCACCCTCCCTTTTCAGACACCTCGCTGCCACCGCCCTGCTCCCTCCCCTCCCCAACCAGACCCCAGCCCTTCTGGGGTGCTAGGAAATGGGTGTGCCAGCCTCTGTGGGAGAGATGGCGGATTTGACGCTGTCTGGGCTTCACAGGCGAGGGGACCCCAAGAGAATCCGATATTAAATCGCCGTGCTAACTGCCAGGCTGCTTTCCAGACACCTGTGGCCCAGCCAGCCCTGGTCTTTTCAGAACTGGAAAAGGAATTCTGGTATGCTGGAGAGAGAAATGGCGGTTGCCAGGGGATTTGGGTCGGGGGTGGGAGGCGGAGCCCAGAGCCGAAAAATCAGAGAAAACCATAAAACCATGACCCTGAAATTGAGGAGGGTCTAAGCGCCCTTGTTCTGCGAGCCAACGCTAGGCCTGGAAGCTAGAGGTGAACCGCGGCTGATCATAGGAGGGGCACATTAGAATATCTGGCAGAAATCCCCCAGGCCGCTTCTTAGCCAGGTTTCCCAGCAATCTCTCCTCTCCTACTCCGCTTCGGTGCAGAAGAAGGGGTGTGGCGCGGTGTCTCGGAAAAATGGCGGCCAGGGGCGGGGCAAAGTGGAAGGAGGGATGGAGTGCCTAGGGAGCCTGCGCAGGCTGGGGTGGGGCGGGGGATGCGAGGAGCTGGAAGAATTAAAGGAATTGGGATGCGGAATTGTTTGCCATCCTGGTGAGCAAATCCTAAAAGGCAAATACTGAGACTCTTGTTCTTGCTACTGATCCATTCACCAGGCTCCATCGTCTTCACTCTGTATTTCTGCCATTCATCTGGTTTTCAGCATCAAGCTCTGGTTGAACTTAAAGGAAGGAGAAAGAACTCTGAATTCTTGCAGGTCAGTGTTTGGGGTGGGAAATGCTGGCCCCCTGGTGTGGGTATGGCAGAAACCAGAGCATAGATGTAGAGGCACACCTATCTATATCTTCTCTTTCTTTAAGACACCTTTGCACTGGCCTGTGCTTTTGGGTGCAAGGAAAGGGGCCTGTGACATATGTCTTTTTAAGGTAAAAGTTGGGAGAGAAAAGGATGGAGAGGAAAAGAGGGAAATATGTGGCCTTTCAGAATTTAAGTTAGGAAAGGAACCACAATGTGTCTAGGAGAGGTTCAAAAACCCTTTCTGTGATCTGCCTGCAGGGCTGCCTGCCTGCAGGCTCTGCAAGCTGCAGGCACAGTGGAAAAGAACAAAGTGTTCCTGATCCCAGGAAGTTGGTATGTACATGAACACCATCTAAGGATATTTGAGTTGGGGTGGGGGGCATCATAGATGGATCTTAGATTTCCCACTCTCTATCAGGTTTCCATACTACCTTGAATCCCCCTTCCTGCGTTTAGGGACAAAGAAATTATAAGTGTTAGCAGTAAGAAGGTGAACTAGATTGAAGATATGCCAGGGTTTCTAAATCAGCAAATGCAGGCCTTGACACCTATGTTCCCAAACTCTATTCTAAGTCGGCCTGGTTAGACACAAAGTGAGCCTAAGCCCTGTAGTCTCTCATTTCTAACATTTACCCCTACTAGGTCCAGCTCAGCTTGCAGCCTCAGGAGAACTTTTGAACCTGAGTTCAAGAGCCTCGCTTGGTGCGTTCATCCCACTAAAGCAAGCCAGTTCCACACTCTGGATCCAAGAATCATTCCAGCTGAACCATGAGCCGAGTTCGGGATGCTGGCTGTGTAGCTGCAGGGATAGTGATTGGGGCTGGTGCCTGGTACTGTGTTTATAGATATACTAGGGGAAGAGACCAGAAGAAGAAGAGACAGGCCAAGCCCAAGAACCGGGCTACAGTGGGTACTGGAACCAAGGCTAGAGCTGGGCTAAGGGCTGGATTCACAATTGACCTTGGGCCAGGATTCAATCCCCCAACCCCACTCAGTGCTGAGGCAGTGAACAAGGCCCAGGATGAAGCATCCACTGTTGACCCAGCTGTAGCTGAGGAAGTGGTTCCAGCAGCACCCAGCCCTGAGGTTCAAAAAGAGGCAGAGGGTCAGGTCCAGAAGGCAGATGGGGCTGGGAATGAGCCTAAAACTGAATTAGTAACAGTGCCTGCAGTTACTTCTGCAGTGACACCACCTCCCAAGGTGGCAGAGGTTTCCACAGCTACAGAGGCCCCAGCAGGGGCTCCCAAAATGGCAGAAACCCCCAGCACAACAGAGGCTCCTGGGTCAGCAGCACCTCCCCTGGCTGCAGCACCTCCCCGGGCTGCAGCACCTCCTGGGCCAGCAGCACCTTCAGGGGCAGTAGCATCTCCTGGACCAGCAGCACCTCCTGGGCCAGCAGCACCTCCTGGGCCAGCAGCACCTCCCCAGGCAGTAGCACCTCCCCGAGCAGTAGCACCTCCTGGAACAGCACAGTCTCCAGGGGCAGCAGCACCTCCCAGGGTAGTACAGTCTCCAGGGTCAGCAATGCCTCCCAAGACAGGAGCACCTCCTGGGACACCAGTGCCTCCCAAGGTGCCAGCAACTCCAAGGGCATCAGCGTTCACTGGGGCACCAGCACCCCCCAGGGCACAGGCACCCCCCAGGGGAATGGCACCTACCCAGAGGGTAGCAGTAACAGAGGTGGTGGAGGGTCCTAGGGTGGTAGCACCTACAGAGGCTGCAGAGATTCCTAGAATAGCAGCACTTGCAGTGGTGGCCGATGGTCCTGTGCCCATAATGCTTGCTGGGGCTATAGAGGCTCCTGGGACTTCCGGATCCTCTAGAACAGCACCAGCTCCCAAGAAAGCAACACCTGGAGCTCACACTGGGGCTATACCTAAGGCTGGGTCAGCCACTGGAGCTGTACCCAAAGGTGGGGCCAAGGGTGGATCCAGGTCACGCAATGGAGGCAAGGGTAAGGGCAAGAAAAACAAGGTTGAAGTAGATGAATTGGGGATGGGCTTCCGTCCTGGGGATGGGGCTGCAGCCGCTGCAGCCGCCTCTGCTAATGGGGGAAAGGCATTCCTAGCCGAGGTTCCTGATTCTGAAGAAGGGGAATCTGGGTGGACTGATACGGAGTCAGATACAGACTCTGAACCTGAGGTCCACCACAGAGGGAAGGGGAAAAGAACTATCCCCATGCATAAACGCCCCTTTCCTTATGAAATTGATGAGATTCTGGGTGTCCGAGATCTCAGGAAAGTCCTTGCCTTGCTTCAGAAGTCAGACGATCCCTTCATCCAGCAAGTAGCCTTGCTTACCCTGAGCAACAATGCCAATTATTCATGCAATCAAGAAACAATTCGCAAGTTAGGAGGCCTCCCAATTATAGCAAACATGATTAACAAAACTGACCCCCACATTAAGGAAAAAGCCTTAATGGCCATGAATAACCTGAGTGAAAATTACGAAAACCAGGGCCGGCTTCAGGTGTACATGAATAAAGTGATGGATGATATCATGGCTTCTAACCTGAACTCAGCTGTTCAGGTAGTTGGGCTAAAATTCTTAACAAACATGACTATTACTAATGACTACCAGCACCTGCTTGTCAATTCCATTGCAAACTTTTTCCGTTTGTTATCTCAGGGGGGTGGAAAAATCAAGGTTGAGATTCTGAAAATACTTTCAAATTTTGCTGAAAATCCAGATATGCTAAAAAAACTTCTTGGTACCCAAGTGCCATCATCATTTAGTTCCCTCTATAATTCTTATGTGGAATCAGAAATTCTTATTAATGCCCTTACTTTATTTGAGATTATATATGACAATCTCAGAGCAGAAGTATTCAACTACAGAGAATTCAACAAGGGTTCCCTGTTTTACTTATGTACTACATCTGGGGTGTGTGTTAAGAAAATCCGAGCCTTAGCAAATCACCACGACCTGTTGGTGAAAGTGAAAGTTATAAAACTGGTGAACAAATTCTGATCGCTGTGTGCTCTCAATATGTGAGATTCCTTGGTTTTTCAGTCTGGAAGCATTGGAGATTGGAAGTAACTGCTTTCCCACTTGCTCATATAGTAAAGGGATCCTTTCTGCTGCCAGCTTTGAATAATGTATCATTGAGTGATGTTATCTGTGACAGTCTGCAGCTTTAAGCTGAACCATTTTCTGAATACAAAATAGTCCTGTAGTCCTGAGAACACACTTATGACTCTGATTGTGCTGCTTGGGTGGAATATTCTTTACTAGGTCCTCTATGTGAATTGATAGTAATCCTGTCCAGGAATGGCCTACTCTGCTCTTAATTGTTTTGACTTGAATTTTGTCACCAAAGACTTCATTTGTGTATCATCAATAAAGTTGTATGTTTCAAATGACAAGAAATTGTTCTAATGTGTGAATTTTAAATCTAGCTGTAAAGATAGAGAATGAATACAAAAAGATTACCGTCAGTGCCTCTCAGTGCCTGGGCGTATGTTATATATCAAATATATGCTATCTGGTAAAGTGAAACAACTTCAATGAAGAGGGAAGCACTTAAGCAGGGTCTGAAGAACAGCATAGAAGAGTGGTCCAGGAAGGAGAAACAGTATAAAGATATAGAGATGGGAACTTTGTTCCTATGATAGGGAGGGAGCCAGTTTGCCTGGAATAGAAAAACAGATTGTAGAAGAAGAGTGATAAAAGATAAAGATGATCATTTAGGATGAGGAAATTTTAAGGAAGGTCCTGAACCATAATCTTAGATACAAAACTATCCTGTCATTCTTGGAGTAACAGAGTGTGTGAGTGTGTGTGTGTGTGTGTGTGTGTGTGTGTGAAATAAGACTGGGAAGATTTGCAAGTGTGAGGACCTGAGTTTTGTCCCCAGAACCCACCCAAAAATGCTAGGTGTGATGATGCACGCTTGTAATCTCTGCCCTGGGAAAGCAGAGACAGGAGGATTCCTGGGGCTCCTGGATCACCCAGTCTAGCCTAATTGATAAGCTCCTGGCCAGGAAGAGGCTCTGTATAAAAGGAGGTATGGCATTCCTGAGTATGGCACCAGAGTGTTCTCTAGCCTCCATACACATGTGCACATGCATGCACACCTGCATACACATGTACACCTAGGTACACATGAACACACACATCGAAAATGAAAAATAATCTGGCGACAATGTGCAAGAAGTCTTGGAGCTGGCATGGCTTAGAGATACAGATGAATAAAAAGGTTTTGGGGCTGGAGATATGGCTCTGCGGTTAAGAACACTGGTTGTTCTTGCATAAGACCCGGGTTCAAATCCTAGCACCCACATGGCAGCTAACAACTATTGGTAACTCCAGTTCCAGGGGATCTGACAGCCTCCTCTGTCCTCAGTGGGCATTGCACAACATGGGTGCACCTACCTACACGCAGGCGATGCACTCATTTACTGGCTCAGCGGTTAAGAATAATGGTTGTTCTTGCAGAAGACCCGGGTTCAAATCCTAACACCCACATGGCAGCTAACAACTGTCCATAACTCCAGGCCCAGGGGATCCAACAGCCTCTTCTGACCTCCGTGGGCACTGTACAACACAGGTGCACTTACCTACATGCAGGCAATACACGCATACACATAAAAATAATAAACATATTTTTAAAAAGTTTTTTAGAAAGTTATAATAAACCAAACATGAGATGATGAACAGGGAAATGGTATTGGGATTAAATGAGCTGTTTGTATATGTTGGTTATGAGACTTTTACACACACACACACACACACACACACACACAGCCAAGATCTGCCACCCGCCATGTGGCTTTGGGGAAAAAAAATCAAAGCAGCAAAAAGATGAGCTTTGGTGCTGACCCATGGTAGGTTTGTCAGAGCTAGAGGTCTAGCTCAGCCTTCCTTTTGAAAAGGAGCAGTGGTGAGGTCTTTCTTATGCCCACACCCCTACTCCTTCATTTTAAGGGCAAAGGAACATTCTTTCTTCCCCTTGCTGGTTTACTGAATCAATGAAAAAAGAAAATAGAAAGGTTTTGAAACCCAGCCTGCTTTTCTGACACTCTAACAATGTAATTTTTGTTTGAGTGTATTTTAAGAAAAGTAACAGGGACTTCTGGAATAGGGACATAAATAAAAAGGACAGATTGATATTGTGCGTTGCTACAACTCATATGGAGAGCAACTAGGTAATATTCATAACAAGTTATTTTCTTTATTTTAATCTTTACATTTATTTATTTGTGGGCGGCACATGTATGCCACAGTGTGTATGTGGGGGTCAAAAGACAACTTGTGGGAGTCAGTTCTCTCCTTCCATCTTGTGGGTTTTAGTGATCAATCTTAGGTCATCAAGCTTGGCAGGAAGCACCATGACCTATGAGCCATTTCACCAGCCCATAAGTTTTAATGATGTAAGTACTCTGCATCAACAAGTTCCAGTTGTAAGAACTTTTTCATAAAATAATATAATAATTATTGCTAGATGAATATAAGAAACTTCATTTAAGCACAGTTTCTAAAAATTAGAATCAAGTTACATGTCTAACACTATGTGATTGACTAAATTATAGATGTTATATTCATGTTTAAGCATAAAACTACAGGGCTGGAGAGATGGTTCAATGGTTGAGAGCATTGGCTACTCTTGCAAAAGACCCAGGGTTGATCCCCAGCACCTTCATGGTAGCTAACAACTATCTGTAACTGCAGTTACAAGGGAATCTGACACCCATTTCTGACCTCTGAAGGCACTGCACAACATGATAACACATACATGCAGGCAATACACATAAAATTAAAATAAATAAAATATTGTTAAAAAGGAAACATATGCTCACTTCCCTCTGCTTCCCTGGGCCTGCACGACCCACCAGCCTCTCTCCAGGGTAAGTTGATTGCGCTCTCCATGCCTTGACTCCCCTAGCCATATTCACCTTCCCATCTCCCCTGCCCATCTCTCCTCCTAGCCTAGGTCCTGTCCTATTCTTTGTCTTGGCACCCCAGACACCAGGGAAACCACCACTGCTTCCTGATCCATTGCATCTAGAACAACCCAGTTCTCACGGTCCCCAGGAGCCCTCTGGGCCGGGTCCCGCCCTCACCTCCCTCTGCTTCTCTGGGCTGCACTGCCCACCAGCCTCGTTCCTGGACCCCTGAGCTGACCTCTTGCCCCAGGGCCACCACTGCTTCCTGATCCCTTGCATCCAGACAGACCAAGTTCCTTCCCGAGGTCCCCAGGAGCCCTCTGGCCTGGCCCTGCCCTCACCTCCCTCTGCTTCCCAGGGCTGTACAACCCTCCAGCCTCTTTCCTGGACACTGGGGCTGACCTCTCGGCTTCCTGATCCTTTGCATCCAGACAAATCCAGTTCTTCAGTACAGTCCCCAGGAGCCCTTGAGGACTTTTCCCATCCCCATCTCCTTTTGCATCTCTGGGTGGCACGGCCACCAGCTGCCCTAGACCAGCATCTTTCCTGGTCCCTGCTCACAGGCCAGTCCAACCCCCAAATTCCTGAGTCCAAAATATTTCTTGGAGAGATACAGACCTTAGGAGAAAGCCTGAGAGCATCTGATCCTTATATGATTTGGGCCTCCGTGGGAACTCCTGAAGACAAAATCAATCTATCCACTCCAATATAGAATCAAAAGAGAGAACCAGAAGCTTAGACAAACCAGCATTTCATGCCTAAAAAGTAAACCACAAAGGCACGTAAAGTTTACAAAAAGAAGCAGACCTAAACTTGAAGGCTCGAGCCTCACACAAGAATCAGAAAATATGAAAGAAATTCACATGTCAAAATCACAGAGAAAAAATAATAACATGAAAAACCAAAATAACATATCCCCACCAAATACCAGTAATCCTCTAGAGGAGCACAATGAGAATCCCCTAGAGACAATGCAGGACATGGAACTCAAAAGAACAATGATGAATATGATAAAAGAATTCAGTGAATTTAAAGAACACACAAACAAAGAAATCAAAAAACTGAAGGAAGATAGGGATAAATTTCTGAATGAATTCAGAAAAGAGCTAGAAATTTTGAAGACTACTTAGGCTAAAATGAAGAAGGAAGTTAAACACTCAGTAAGCTGATTAGAAACGACAGGAGAAAGCCTCACCAATAGGATGAATGAAATGTAAAACAGAATATCAAGACTGGAAGATAAAGTGGACGAACTAGACCACTCAAGCAAAGATTATGAAAAATTTAAGAAAGCACAAGAATGGAATATGCAGGAATTATGTGGCACCATAAAAAGACCAAACTTACAAATCATAGGCATAGAAGAAGGAGGAGAATCCCAAGATAATGGCATGGACCAGATCCTCAACAGAATCATAGA